TGATAGGAAAAATTCTGATTTACACTGCCTTTTCGGACCTGTCGATAAGAAAGGAGTTTCCCTTTCCCAAGCGACTTTTCTAGGAATTCATCGAGCCAAGAGGGATCTGAAGCTTGACTGCCCTACGCTGAAATCGATCCGAAACCTGGTTCACAACCGTACAGCGTATGCACTTCCCACTAAACTAGGCCCGCTCTTCTTTAGTCTCTAGGTAACCCCACTTATCATCTTGGGAAGTTTGTAAGTACTTCTGTTCAAGCTTCCGAGATTGATATACGATTTATCGGCTAACGTTTCGGCGCACTCGCCTTCTTCGGAGCCTGCAAGTCGAAGCATCTTTTTGAAACAATTCGTCCAAGCAACATTTCAGATTACAAGAAAGAAAAACTAAGGGAGAATAAGCCATGAACGATGTCGTAACCCGCTAACCTTTGTAAAAGCCGAGCGTTAGAAGGCACCCTTTGGCACCATGTCGCAAAGACCCCTCCCAGTTCGCGTAATGACTGAGAGCGCGATCAAATGGAAAATCGAGTTTAGAATCGGCCCTTCCTGTGTTTCGCCGAATTGGTGTTAATCGTTACGTAGGAGGTGGGGACAACGGTTAAATGTCATCCACAATGTTGAAAGGATGTACCGTGAGTTGTGTGTGCATAACAAAATGTTTCCAGACAACTATTTCATTTTGTTGCTCCCATCGATGTTCCGAGAAATATATCAGGGAAATCTCTAGAACTGGAATTTCTTTCGAAACTACTATACATAGACGAAATTATTAGAAACTCTCTTTTTGTCAGAGAGAAAAGGTGGAGAATTGGTCGCGTTCCAAAGTCGTTGTGTAGACCAACTTCAAGCACACTGACTATGTGGAATACATTTCAAATTATCTGTCATTTACAGCCTATTTCGTCGGATAATGCGCTAGTGCTTTGACATTAACCCTTTGGCGACAAGGGCACCCAACGGTGGGTGCCACTCTGCCCATCTTCGTGGGACAATAGCACCAAATGTTGGCTGTCACCTTGGAATCTTGTCCTTTGCACATTTGAAAACATTTTCTATTATTGTAATTTAGCAAGCTTCATAACGTCTCTGCCTTAGCAGGGTTCAATAAGAGCTAAGTTATGGAAATTTTCATAATGTGGCATTTAGCTCGTCAGTATGTTAGCAGAGGTTTTTCATGATTAGGCAAAACACAAATTACTAATCGAAACTTCTTCTTTTCACGATTTTGAGACACAGGCAGCGATTTGAACTGCACAAAAATTCCACTGTGCACATTTATTTAATTATTTATTTATTACTATGCACTCGTGGGTGCGCTTACAATAACTAGTCAGAAACCAACTCGAAACATTAACTGACAAGCAAACATTAACTTCGACAGTTTTCACCTTCTATGCCACTGAAATCCAATTTCCTTTCCATACTTCCATTTTTCTGCCAGCCACATAAAATGTGAAATTTTTCAGATCTGCAGCTATAATTATGGTTAGGTGCAATTGCTCAGTCAAAAATCTGATAGAAAACTGCTTTCAGAGAAAATTTTGCCCAGGCAAGAGTAGGGCGCGCCAAAGATGGGGCTGAGCCCACGAGCCCCGCTTACGCCACATGCCGCATCTGTCGTTAAAGGAGTTAACAACCTACAGCCTAGAAGCACCAACTGATTTTAAGTCACAATCTTGATTTTTCAGTTGTCTAAAATCTGCGTAAGCGTTCAATGTTCTCGCTTCACGTAAAACGATGCCAATAATCGGTTTATGGAACAGCTTAGGCGGATTCTATGCCACCTTGGTCCATTGGGAATGGGAAAGAGGCTAACGCAACCCAGGCCGTATGCTGAACTGTTGGGAGCAGGTGAATAATGGCTTCGAGGAACATCCTCGACCGGGGGCGTCGTACCCCCCCCGACACGAGGGAACCCGGGACCCCCGCACAATACATTAACCAATGATACCCGATGTTCGGGCTGGTCATGGGGGGTCGTACTCTTGGGGGTCAGTAACAGAAGTGGTATCATGGTGCAGATAGGTAATAGGGTATAGCGCAGCAGAAAATGAAAACATCCGAAAAAAAACATGATATTAAATTTTCTTTGCAGGTTCAGTCGCTCCATTCCTCCACCTTCATGAGAAGGGCGTATTTGAAGGCAGTACAAAGAATGAAAGTGCATCCCCGCAAAGAAGAGTGCCACATGTGCGCACGCGCTGCAAAGGCACCTCCTCCGCCTATCACTCGCTCCTTCTCCCTTAATACCTCGCTGAGAATGACGCTGTTGTTAGGGACCCTGTCGGAAAAACGACAACCGTGAAGAAAAAGCGCTGGGCAAATGAAGTTGTTTTTTAGGTTACAGGAATAGCACAACACACTATGTCTACTACAATACAGTTTCGTTCGAAGGTCCCCATCATATAACACCTTTCAATCGATTCTGCAACTGTGAGTGGAGGAGGGATGCATGGCTTATACCAATACCAAATCGGATGATGACGATTGCTCCTATTCTTATTGTTTGCGTTCAAAGATATTGTTCTAGACACATTCCGAGTGTTGCCAACGAGTCACACTTGCAATGGTGAATGAGGGAGCGGATTTCCAGGTGGCCGGATCCGACCTCGATAGATCCTCGACGCAATTATCTCTTCAACCAAAAAGCTGTAGAAGAAAACTAAACAGACCATCAGGAAGCGCAAACCTTCCGCTTTCCAAAACTATCTTCCCTTTTTCAGGATCTTACAATATAAGAGATATATTGCTCTTGAAGTGGCAAAAACTCGCGTGAAAATTTGGGCCTCCTCGACATTTACTCGACGAAATTTGACAGACCCTATCTTTCTGCAAGGAAGGCTTCCAGAGCAATTTCGATGCTTGTTGGAAACGCGAAATCCAGCTCTATCTAACTCTACCTCAAGCTGCTTCAAAGGTTGTGAAATGGAGGAATGCAACCTTTTCATCGAGGGTGTAGATTCGGACGTTTTTTTTTGAAATTTCGGCAAATCTGACCCAGTGACAATCGCGCCGCAGCTGCCGTTGAATCGGCCTTTGATACACTCGGCTGTTTTGATATACTCAAGCAAGAATCAAGATTGAATCGCAACCCCGTGTCTTCAGGATTTCTGTGCGTTTCTGAACGAACCTCGCCTTGAGGTCACACAAAGTTAATGCCTCTTTCCTCGAGTCGATATTTCAGTATGTACACAAAAGTATGCAGCGATGGAAGACGTGCATAGATGACAAGATGAAGCGTCCTTAGCATTATTTTGCAGAATTTTTTTTGATTTGTTTTGCAGGATTTATTTTAATTGAATTAATTTGCTCTGTTAGAGGGGGTCGTGCCAGGATCTCGATTTCGGGGGGGGGGTCGTACCTCTGCGACCACGTACTCGACACGATTTTCACCCTGGTCTGCGGAGGGGATGGGGTCCCCAACGGTCGACGGACTACTTCAACTCGGTCGGTACGGTAGGAGAGTAATGACGCAAGTGGTGCAGCTGGTCCCAGCAGCTCCGCCAAAAGGGCTGGTTTGCTTACCCCAGGACTAAGCCTTGGAGAGGGGACGGACCTGCGCTCTCTCGCAGGTCCGTCCTCTCTTTAAGGCTTAGTCCTGAGGTAAGCATCAAATTGAGGCGGTTTTAAGGACCGAGTTGAAGTAGTCCGTCGACCGTCGGGGACCCCATCCCCTCCCCAACATTCAGCATACGGCCCCAGCAGAAACGCCAAAAGGGCTGGTTTGCTTACTCTTGTGGAATGATCACTTAGTGCGTAATTTTTTCACACCGAACGAACGCTTTTCTGATAGCGGCTCCTTCGCTGAGACTGGAGATTTGAACGTACTCTCGAATTCACTTCCCAAAATTTTCCAAACCTAAACATCGACTCCTTTGTTTTCCTCGTGAATTTCGTGGTTTACCGACGTGACTACCTGAAATAGGAGGCAGCACTGCAAGACCTGCCTGATCGACATGGGTCAAGCACAGCGTAGCTGAAGAGTTCACAACAGAACTCTACTCGATCCGGTCCCCGTCCAGCACCCCTCTTTCATATTCCAATCCCCGAGAAATCCGAATCCCGAGAATTAGGCTGAGTGGGGTAAACGTAACAGCATAACGATTGAGTTCCCCAGATAAATTCCTGAATTTCTGCTTTTCTACAAGAATCCCCAGTTGTTTCTTACAGGTACCCCTCCCACACGACCAGCTTTCCAAATTAGACCCAATACAGCGCCAATTCCAAACCAAACACTGATTCTTTGACGCATATTTACTTTTGCTAACCAGGGTCACCACCATTTATAAGAGCACTAGAAGCGACTGAATCTAGCTCCAATCCCTTTCCAGACGTCATTACGCCTCACCATTTCCGCAGCCGCTCTCAAGTGTAAAGCTAGTCCACTGGCGACAGATTAAAGCAGCGCCAAAGTGTACACATCATCAACGCTGTTCCACTCTCATTGCCGAATCAATAATACAACGCTCGCATGAACATTATATTTATTGAATGAAGAAGTAGATTCATCGCGTTTTCTATCAAAAACATGACAGTTACGCAAGGATTGGTATGAATAGTACATAACATCTGTTCAACGAAAGAAAGTACGCTTTATCGGGTTCCTCTTAACAAGTAGAAACAACAACACTCCAAGTAACAAAACTGGCGTTCTGCTAGAGCCCTAGTAGTAATCCATTTCCCTGCAAACTATGTAGATGTGTTTAATTACACGCTGAGATGACGAAGAAGAAAAAAAAGAAGAAGATCATAGCTCGACTTTTCCATTCCAAACAAGCAATAGCCACCGAAACACCGACGAAAAAATTCATCAAAAGCAGAGATCGAATGGCTAAACAACAAAAATGAAAAATGCCATAACAACGGAAAACACTAAAGGACTGTGACACTACGCTATACATGCAGGGCTGATAGATGACTAATGGGCACGAGCAGATGTGGTAGCAAACGTATTGGAGATGACGCTCAGTTGCAAAGAAGAACAGTGGAACGACAGCTTACTTGGAACCAAGAGCGGGAAAGGCATCAAGCGAGGAATCAAACTGAGGGGGAACCTGTGCACGGTTTCCTCCACGACCACCTCGTCCACCGCCGCGTGCGCCACGCCCTCCTCTTGGTGGGCGATCACCACGGAAGCCACGGTTAGGTTCAGCAAATTGGATGTCAATGTGAAGTGCCTTCTCACGGGGTTCACGGCGAATTATGGAAACTTCTTCCTCTTCTTTGTCGACAACCACTTCCTTCTGCAGTTTGACCAGCTTGCCAAAGTTCTCCTCTTCACCTTCTCCAGCCTTGCGGACGTTGAACTTGGGAGCCTCCTTCTGTACCTTCCATGAATCCAAGATTAAATGATGAAAATAAAAAAAGGAAGATTGAAAAAATAGAACCAGAAGGATCAAGTCACCTTTTGAGAGTCAATGTACTCCTTCAAGGTTTTTTGCTTCGCGTACTCAGCTTCAAGAGCTTCCTGTGCGAGCTCCTCGGCAGTTTTTTCTCGAGGAACCTCAGGTTCTTCCGGTACGACGATAGGCTCAGTCTCCCCGGCAAGCTCATCCTGAACAGGATCGACAATAGTATTACACAATCACCAAATCCTTTAAAACGCCACAGCAAACTACAACACATTCAGAAGCCAAGATATAATATCTGGTAGGAACATCGTGTCGAGAAACCAGCTGAAAATTTCAATGGTTGGAGGGAGGTACCTAATTTCCACGCTTTGCCGCAATCATCAAGTCCCGGGGCGGTATTCAATCCTTCCCCCAGGGGATATATCCCCCTACTCTGATTCAATCCTCTGGGGGGACAAAAAAGGGTTGCGTCATAGGACCTAGCATACCTCTGTGTTTCTACCTGCCAGACAGTTAGAGCAGCGCGACCCCTCAGGGAAAGAGTGCTTCATCAGTGGAGGGTAGTAGCGCTGCTCTAACTGTCTGGCAGGTAGAAACACAGAGGTATGCTAGGTCCTATGACGCAACCCTTTTTTGTCCCCCCAGAGGATTGAATCAGAGGAGGGGGATATATCCCCCTGGGGGAAGGATTGAATACCGCCCCTGGTCCAAATAGTGATTTTTATAGCTGCCGCGCAAAATATGACCCAAATGGATTGAACGCTGAATTTGGAGCAGATTTTGGAGTGGGAGAGGGGGGGGGTGACCATGCGCAGCTACAATTGGTGCACAGAATATTAACCCCGCTCAAATTCCTAAAATGAGCAATAAGATCTTCCCAACACAGAAAAATCGATTCCTTCTAAAGCATCCGACATAAATCCTAATGTTCCTTCTTTACTCAAAGTGCTGACAACGCATATAAAGAGAAACAACGTGAATCATAAGTTTATATTTTGTTTCTAAATAACATCATTCAGCAGAGATCTTTTCGTAGGCCGTTAGGTTGTGAAGTCTCCCCTTATGTATGAAAACTTGAGGAATTTAGCCAAACCCACTACTAAAATGTTGAAAACTTTCTAAGAATTGGGATTTTGAAAGAAAAGGAAAGACAAAAAACAACACCAGCAGATAGTGAGACACCAGAGACACAAAGAGAGCAACAAACATGATGTGAGAAATTTTTTTAATCTTCACTCACCTTGACATCTCCCCAGTTGCCACGACCATAGCCGCCCTTTTTGTCGTCCCCACGTACACCCGTACGATCTGACCCACTCTGACGATCGAATTGACGCCCACCACGGAACGCGCCTCGTCCTCTTCGCTCTCCATTGAAAGCTCCTCGTCCACCTCGTCCACGACGCTCACCTGAAACAAGTGGGTCTATCGCTAAGAACAAGACACCTCTAGTTGAAGCAACACAATTCATGAGTTGCCCATAAAATCATACCAGAGAATATCGAACTAGCAGTTTAAATCATATTTCAAAAGTCACTCCTATTAAGTTTTGAGCCAATTAATAACGACAAGCATGAACCATAAATTGACCGAAAACATACCTTGGAATTCAGCAGGCGGCATTTCACTAGGAACCTCATCTGCACTGCCTTTGGAAGTCCTTTGGAGCATCCGTAAAAGTGTTAGCACCTCCACCACGCCCTCGGCTAAAACAATTTTGTATCCCGCTTTGATACACAGCGCAACAGTCTCCTATCACACTGAAACTAAAATGAAAATGAAAGGAAAACAACACCTACAATGGAGCACCGCGACCACGACCTCCTCCTCGTGGACCACCGCCTCGGCCTCCACGGGCTTCTCCGAAACGTTCAGCAAATTCCCCTTCTGGTCTTGGGGGCCGTGGTCCTCCAGCTCCACGGCCACGACCTCTACCACCGCGACCACGTTCGCCGCTGGCTGGCTTACTGTTTTCCTTTCCCACTGAAAAAAAAATCAAATTCACAAAAGGTAGAGTGGAGTAATCACTAAAACGGGAAACAGGTCGCAATTTCTGCCATGAAAAACATGACGACAACTTCAGAAAATGTCTCGATTAATCAAACAGACAAGATTCAACCAAAGAGACTTCATTTCTAGCGTCCATCCTAAAAAGTGGGTGAGTTGTTATGCGCGTGTCTAAGATACAACCCCTTGACCACTAACTTGAGTTGTTGTGTAGAAAGCAAGATAGAAAAAGATACAGTTCCTCCAATTATGGAAACAAACGATTTCGACAAAAAGCGAACCCTACTTATGTGATCTTCGCTCTGCGCAACTTATAAATTCAGAGCCAAAATTAAATCCCGCCAGACAGGGATAATTCACCTGAAAACACGAAGCATGCTAGAAATAAGATTTCAGACGTAGCTGATAAATGTACATTATGATCCTCGAGGCTTCTAGGCGCATTCAAGAATCGGCACGCATCAATACCACGCTATTGAGACGACGGCGCTCTACTCGTACAATCCGGCCGCTATCACCGCTGCCTCCACCTCACTTCACCGTGCACCGTGCCACAGAAACCGCTGGCGCTAGCTTGACCGTAATTTAACGCTACTAATTGTTTTTATAGGCAAATTGGATACGTTCTTGATGCAAATCAGCGCACCATCCCTTGCGCCATTTGTCGCTTTCCAACCTATGCGCCATGACAGCGAAGGAATCGCCGACAACGAACGCGACCTTCGGTTCGTCTGGCATTATATGCCTAAGGGAGGTGTCAGACTGCGCATCCATCTCACTACTAGCGATTCGCGGGGTACGAACGATTGCCTAGCGATTTGAACAATGCAGCAGCGGTTTGAAATTGGTGCTAGCGACTGGGCATTATGGGAAATGAAAGTCACTCATGCGTAAAACGCATTACTCTCGCTTTCCCATGCGCCTTCGTACTTCCGAAAAGTCGCCGCACACGCCTCAAAGATACGAACGAGGACCTCGCGCCACTTTTCCAAATTTTGGAGTTGGCTGATACATCGTTCGAGCCACTCGTGCAGCGGTCAAACGCTGGCGCAGTCCCGTTGTGCTTGTTCTTCTGCATCTTTTTTGATATTTTTCCAAAACCAGCAGTATTCTACAATATTTTCGTTACTGGTAATGGGTGTTTTCTGATTCCAATGAAAGACAGACATTTCTCAGAAGAAAATTCCAATAGTGAGCGAAACCATACCCATCCGCACCTACATCGCATAACGCGTCATGCTATCGTCCAATATGTTGATAAGGAACCAAAAGCCCATACACAACGACTCTTCTCAACACTCAACAAAACTCCTTCCCATGAAGGCATCCAAACCTAAAACGAGCAGTCTCATGCCTCTCGGACGTAGTCATTATGGACTGACATACATGTGTGCACATGGCCTACCCTCGACTGTTACTGGTACAACAACTGATCCAGGTCCACTTCATCTGAAGCTATTTAAAACTGCACAGCGCATGTGTCTCAGAAAAACGAAACCACAACGCCACACAGTTGCAAAAAAAAACACCATCAGATCGAGCAGTTCCGCCAATGATTAGATTTAATGAAGGTCAGCTGAGGAACGTTTCTATGGAAACCGCTCCGGTAACAGCCTCAATATTGCGGTTTCCAAAAAAGATGCTTTCCTCAGCTGACATCGAAAAACATAAGTGAATGAGGAAATATGCAGTTTTTCTCGAGGCACACACGTTGACGGTTCGTAGAGCTACTTTCTTCACTTGTACATTGGAGAGTCCACTGCGTCCAGTGACTCCGCTGTTGGGTCTATTCCAATAGGAGGGAGAGGCATTTGGTGCAGAACACTTAAGGTTTTTGAAACCCAAGCAAACGTGTTGTTGCAATCTTTCCGATCGACATTCGTGCCCTCTTTCCAGCGTAACCAGATCGCTGAGTCGCTAATCATTGTTCAAATCGTAAGCTATGAACGCTGGGCAATTGCTGCACCAAATGAGCCTTACTGGAAGCTGCTCAACGCGCCGAATAAGCACATGGCTGACAGCGCAAAGCGCCAAATTGCTCACCTACAATTTATTTTGGCACCTCAAATAAAGCTCTTCATTCGACGACGTCTACTCTGACAAAAGGTCTCCATACAAGATATCCCAAGGGTGAAGTTATTTCGCATTAAACGCCCTATGCAGGCGAGAGCTTGTACAGCGATTGACACCATTTTGACAAGAACCCAACTGCATCACAAATTAAATTGCATCCCAGAAACTGTATAAACCGACGTTTCAGACGTCTCAACTCAGAAAGAGAGAGGAGATCGAGCACTGGAAGTGAACGCATAGCAAATATTATTAGGTACCGGATATCTTAATGTCGTTTTTCTGAGTTCAGGAAGTTTCGGGGCCGATTACCATGGAAAATCAATTTCTCAGAACGTTCTTTTTGCTTATTAATACTACGTAATATGTTGCTTATTAGTCCCTATTGTTACTTTACAATTTACGTCAA